CGTGACATGACTCTGGATGATCAGCTGTAATGCGACGTGATTCTGGATGATCAGCTGTAATGTGACGTGAATCTGGATGAACAGCTGAGACGTGACAAGGCTCTGAATGAACAGCTGAGATGTGATGAGGCTCTGGCAGATCAGCTGAGACTTGACTAGACTCATGAAGATCAGCTGTGACTTGACCAGACTCATGAAGATCAACTGTGACTCGATTTGACTCATGACGATCAACTGTGACTAGACTCAGGAAGATCAACTGTGACCTGACTTGACTCAGGAAGATCAGTTGTGACTTGACTCATGATAATGACTTGTAACTTGACTTGACTCATAACGATCAACTGTGACTAGACCTGACTCATGACGATCAGTTGTGACTTGACCAGACTCATGATAATAAACTGTGACTCGATTTGACTCATAACGATCAACTGTGACTCGATTTGACTCATGACGATCAACTGTGACTAGACTCAGGAAGATCAACTGTGACCTGACTTGACTCAGGAAGATCAGTTGTGACTTGACTCATGATAATGACTTGTAACTTGACTTGACTCATAACGATCAACTGTGACTAGACCTGACTCATGACGATCAGTTGTGACTTGACCAGACTCATGATAATAAACTGTGACTCGATTTGACTCATAACGATCAACTGTGACTCGATTTGACTCATAACGATCAACTGTGACTGAACTTGACTCAGGAAGATCAACTCTGACTAGACCGGACTCATGAAGATCTGTTGTGACTTGACTAGACTCATGATAATGACCTGTAACTTGACTTGCCTCAGGAAGATCTGTTGTGACTTGACTTGAATCAGGAAGATCAGCTGTAGTTAGACTTGACTCATGACGGTCAACTGTGACTTGATTTGCCTCATGACGATCAACTGTGACTAGACTTGACTCATGACGGTCAACTGTGACTTGGCTTGACTCAGGAAGATCAATTGTGACTTGACTTGACTCAGACTCAGGTACAGGGACTACAGAACTGCAAGGTGCTGAAAATCTAAGAGTAGTGACCTCCTCAACCTCCCCAACTGTAAAGGGAGATTCACAAAACTGCAAGACAAAGTCAATAAACTGTGCCAGGGTCCAACTAGGATCTTCATCTTGCAAGTTTAAGCTAATATTAACATAACGCTCCAGAAACAGTCTTTCACCACATCCTCATCACCCGGCATAAGGTGGCTATACAAAAGGAATTCCTCCACGTAACGTTCAATGGGTCTGCCATTTTGAAAAATGGAGCAGAGCACACTTACAGGGTTGAATAAACCTTTGGCTGGCTCCATAGCTGCTCTTGTGCTCCAAATAAAGCTGCTGGATCCAGTTGCGGCCGAGTATTCTGTAACGTGGCTGACGAGACGTGAGACGTGCGGATCCATGTGCAAGCTTTATTCACAGGCGTGGTCAGAAACAGGCATGGGTCAGACAATGGCAAACAGGAATATGGTGGACAAGACACAAGAATAATCCTAGGGTTAGCGAAGGTCAACGAACGGCGAACAGAATCAAAAAAGGGCGAGACTAAAGGGATATATCCAGGAAACCAGGCAAGGATCAGAAACCGAGAAGGCAAGACTAGGCTAAGGCAGGGTAAACGAACGAGGGCTCTGTAGTGTAGCTATCAAATGATAAGCACTAAATAATACTCGGTGGCGGGAAGGGATCAGAGTGAGTGTTAAATAGTGAGTGAGTGATGTGAAACAGCTGTGTGCAATCAGTGCTGTGTGCAATCAGTGCTGTGTGCAGTCAGTGCAATGAATGATGGGATATGTAGTCCGGGATGATATGCAACAGTGTGTAGTGCGGGAGTCGATGAAAATGGAAAGGGTGACCATTACAAGATGCCTTATGCGACCATAAAGTGATGCACATGGTCATTTAATGATGCTCATTTGCTATTAGGGAAATAATGCGTGTCAAGGAAATATCCTAAATACCAGCCTGAACTGTTGACACAACCATTTACACCCAATTGTGCTCATATTATCTGCTTGACATATATACAATTTTCTACTTTGGTTTTAGGGAGCTTGTGCTCAGTTTCCTCTGCTGAGTTGAGTGGAAACTGCTGTGTTCTGCTGCTGCAGCTCTTCAACTGTTTTAACACGTAGTTATTTTAGTTACTCTCTCTCTTCCTGCCAGCTTGAACCAGTCTGGCCATCCTGGTGCATAAGTATATCAATTGGGGCACATGTCAAGAGATTCTGGTCTGTGGTGAAACAAGAATGTCTGCAGATTTGTTTGCTGTGCATTCATGCCGCGACTCTTCCATTCCATGTTGCATTTAGAGGGATTGACTGTGGAGGCCACTGGAGTACAATGGACTAGTTGTCATATTCATGAAACCAGCCTGAGATGATGTGTGGCGTGGCATGTTATCCTGCTGGAAGTAGCCATTACAATATGCCTTATGCGACCATAAAGTGATGCACATGGTCATTTAATGATGCTCATTTGCTATTAGGGAAATAATGCGTGTCAAGGAAATATCCTAAATACCAGCCTGAACACAACCATTTACACCCAATTGTGCTCATATTATCTGCTTGACATATATACAATTTTCTACTTTGGTTTTAGGGAGCTTGTGCTCAGTTTCCTCTGCTGAGTTGAGTGGAAACTGCTGTGTTCTGCTGCTGCAGCTCTTCAACTGTTTTAACACGTAGCTATTTTAGTTACTCTCTCTCTTCCTGCCAGCTTGAACCAGTCTGGCCATCCTCCTCTGGCATTTCTCACTAACAAGGTGTTTTCACCCACAGAACCGCCTCTTCCAGAATGTTTGTTGACTTTCACGCCATTTTCTGTAAAGTGTAGAGACCACTGAAAGTGAAAATCCCAGGAGATCAGCAATTTCTTTAACATTCTCATGTTCGGTTTGAACATCAACTATGTCTGCAGGCTTTCATGCATTGTATGGCTTCCACATGATTGGCTTATTGAAGTATTTATACAGCCCTCTCCTTATAATCGGCCATTCAAGTACACACATAATTATTTGTAGGCCATACAATTCTAAGCAATAATGAAACAGATACTTTACATTGAATGTGATAGCTGAAATGGCTTCCCTTTCAAAAGCTGTATTCCAAGAACTAGACATAGTGGTTCGCCTGTTACCTCAATCAATCAATCAATAGATAGATAGATAGACAATAGTCAGTTAGTAAGTTACTTAGTCCATGTTCTCTTTAAAACCCCTACATTGTACATCCACCTTTATTTTCTGGGCAGTTTTCAAAAAAGAAATGAAATTTGAGAAAAACACTAAAACTTATGATTTGTACTCAAAGTTGTGTTCTTGAATTGCCTCAAACAGTCTCAGATTCTTGACGTTTTCCATCCCAGCTGAGAAAAAAAGCTGAGAAAATTGTGTTTTAACTAAATCCGGATTGGATTCAGAATGATGAGCAAAACACAGATGGAGTAGATGGCTTCCATCAACACATACAAAGCTTCACAGTCCTAAACCACTTCCTGGTTTGATATTTCATTCAGTAACGTTAGGCAGTTTTAATTCATATGCTGTTTAATGATTGCATTGTTTTACATGTTCATCTGCTTACATATGCAATCGCTTGTCTCTGCTGCTTCTTCACAGAGAAAACAATGAAAGATGGAACATTCTGTCAATGGCGGGGAAAGAGTTAAACATTTTGTTTTACTTTGCATGATTTTGTAATGCAGTAAATTGCATAAGTGATTGTATTGTTTCCATGTATTTACGTCAATGTTTACATGTTTACGTCAAAATCTTATGTCTCAAAAGTTGTCAAAAACTCTGATGCAGATCATGCAAAACTGCATGATCTCAATAGCTGTTTGGACGTAAGGGTTTAGTTGACTTGATCGTCTCTGGAGCTTGAAGGTTCCCTGCAGCTGTGTGTATGTCAGCGCGAGCTTTGCTGTTGTGCGTCAAATGCAATGTGTGTGAATCTGGGAGAGATCTCTGGAGACCTTTAGGTCATGTGATTCTTCCTGTGCTGGCCTGGTGCTGATCTGTCTCTCCCTCCATCTCTATCTCCTTTAAGGTCTTGTTCCCACAGTACACTCCTTTCTTGCTTCAGGACATAGAGCAATGTAAGCAGCTGCCGTGGATCCATCTGATATCAGAAGACATCCGATTATTTCCCATCTTCTTTCTCCAAACTTCTGTGTTTTTTCTTTTTATTTGGAGAAATTTTTTTTTTCATTGGGTTCTCTCGTTTGGACAATTCACTGTGTCATACTAAGGGAACCACTCACATACTTACACACCCGCTTCTTGTACCCCTGTGAACCGCACAGAGAGGAAAGTCCACCTACCTTGAAGTCAGCTCTACTCGTTTAGCCCCTGAACCCAGGCCTGGCTGGTGCCAGAAAACCCACAAACCCTCTTCAAACCCACATCTGGCAGAGTTTAGGTGTGACAAGGTTCGCTGAGCTTTCAGCTTATCGAATTCTATGGCTTCCTTCTGCACTTAAGGTCTCTATTTTGTGAGAGTATGTGTGCAATTGAGAAAAAGTGAAGTTAAAAGGGGAAATGTGTAGTCTGTAAAGATAATTACCAACCCAAACAGATTTTCACACATCAGATGTGTTGGTCATGGATCACCGATTAGCTGTTTTTCTTCCATTTCACAATCTGATGTTTCAGACTGCCTTGTATGTTTTTCAGAATGGAAAACTGATTGTGTGCATAGTGCATATTGTACCCTGAGATGTACGGACAACAAACAAACACAAAGGCAGTGTTGTCTCCATGCATTCAGCTCATCTACCCCATTCAGGGAAGTAGGCCATGCTTGGCAGAAACCTCAGCAAAAGAGACACACGAAACCTAAAACACTGCAACAGTATATGGCAGGATAAGTTATTTCCTCTGATTGGTTGGTTGGGGTATGATTGGCAGACCAATGAGGTGGTAACAGCCGTACTATTTTAGGACCTTTATTTTGATGGGGGAGGGGGTACGTTCCTGCTGACTTGGGGTTCTCGCTCTCCCTGATACTTCCTCTTCCGTTCCCATTCCTATCCAGGTACGTTGAGTTTCTGCTGATGGTGTAATGATGCGTCTGTTGCGAGGTTAATATGTGCTGTTTATAGTTTAATTTAGAGTGGGGCTGGTGTCGTTGGCGTTACGGGAAGTCGTGGCAGAGTTCGCTTGCAGGTATGGTTGGTGTTTAATTTGTATGACCACCTTAGTGGTGGTATTTACTGGTTGTTGTGCTCGGTGCTAGCAACAAGGGCAGGTGGGTGAATGCTGGCTGGTAGACTGAGTTGCGGCACCGGTAGTGAGTAGCCATACAGCTGTGTGTCTAGTGTAGGTTCAACATAACTCGTGAGTATGCCTCTCCTGTGTTTCACGTTTTGTAAATTTAGATTAATTCTCGTACTCTTGTTTAAAGGTAAAACGGAAAGATCAAGATTTTCAAGCCCTGTTCCTAGCAAGGACTTTATGTAAAAATCAGTTTAAACTTATTGGAAAAAATATACAGTGCCGTGAAAAGGGTTTTGCCCCCTTCCTGTTTTTTATTTTTTTTTGCATATTTGTCACACTTAAAAGATTCAGATCATCAAACCAATTTTACATTTTACACAAAGATAATGCAAGTAAATACAAAATGCAGTTTTTAAATGATGATTTCATTTATTAAGGGAAAAAAGCTGTCCAAACCTAACCCTCCAATGTGGCTGAATGAAAACAATTCTGCAAAGAAGAGTGGGCTAAATTTCCTGTGAAAGACTCATTGCAAGTTATCACAAATGTTTGATTGCAGTTGTTGCTGCAAAGGGTGGCACAACCAGTTATTAGATTTTAGGGGGCAAAAACTTTTTCACACCACTGTATGAAGAATATCAAAAACTTTAGGAGTCAGCTGTCCATGTCAGTCCTTAAGAAACCAGCACAATAACACACTCTGCAAAATATCGTCTAATTATCGTTATCAGAAAATATCGAGATATTATTTTTTTGGCAGTATCGCTCTAGCTCTTCTTTGAAGGTGGACGGTCTAACTGGCCATTTGACTGAAATCAGAGATGCTTGTGTCAGTGCTCGCATTGCCCTCAGAACAGCTCCAGAAAGCACACACAAGGGGGATTTACAAAGACAGGAACTCTCACTTAGGAGGTATTAAGCTGTCCCGCATAAAGAAGTTAATGGTGGGGCAGCTGGTGCCATAACATTAGCCTCCACTGAGCTCAAAAGACAACATAAGATAAGCGGTAGATTAGCTCTCACCCACACACAGGCAGTCCGTACCAGTTACCACACATGCCCTCTGTGCTTAACTAAACACTTAGAGTCCAAGATAAATAGAGAGCATGGGAAAAGAAGTCAGCTTTTATGGACATACCAAGCTGAGATGTTGTAGTGGCCAGCATTTTTGGGTTTTAAGGTCGTTTTTAAGAAGCTAAATCTCATCCTGTCCACTTCTGTCTGCCCCCCCAAAAGTCACTTCTAACACACACATACACACACCTGCACTTACATATCACTGCCTTAAACACTTTCATTACAAGTGGATCTGTAAATCCAACAACTAATCACTAATAAATATGAATATATAGAAATAAACAGTATATAAAGAAATTAAAAGTATATATTGAATATGTTAAAAATGACACGATTTTACAAAAAAAATATTACCTTGAAAAACTTTTGAGTGATGCTTTATGGAAGAAAAATAATGCCATATGTCTTTGAAACAAAAAAGCACGTTGAATAGCACTAACTGAAAAAATGTTTAAGGTCGTTTTTAAGAAGCTAAATCTCATCCTGTCCACTTCTGTCTGCCCCCCCCCAAAAGTCACTTCTAACACACACATACACACACCTGCACTTACATATCACTGCCTTAAACACTTTCATTACAAGTGGATCTGTAAATCCAACAACTAATCACTAATAAATATGAATATATAGAAATAAACAGTATATAAAGAAATTAAAAGTATATATTGAATATGTTAAAAATGACACGATTTTACAAAAAAAATATTACCTTGAAAAACTTTTGAGTGATGCTTTATGGAAGAAAAATAATGCCATATGTCTTTGAAACAAAAAAGCACGTTGAATAGCACTAACTGAAAAAATTATGCATTGCATTAACAGTTCTTGCATTTTAATGCCTTGTATTTCCAGGGCTTGCATTATTAGGTCCTGAAATTTAACATAGTTGTCTATTTAAGCGGTGAATATTTCAATTCAAAATATTTCACACACATTTTCATAATTAAAAATTCAATAATTCATATTCACCTTCCAGAATTCACTTCCAAAATATTCAATCCGTTTAAAAATACGATGTATAATATTCATCAGGAAAATTTCGGTCCATTTAATTTCACTTTCCAAATTCACTTCCACAAATTCAGTGGTTAAAATTCGACAGAAAATTCGCCATTGCACATCCGGGAGCTGCAGGAATAGCAGTAGAGCACCGATGCATGATCTCCAGCTGCTGTCAGTCTCTCACCAGCAGGTGGCGCAAGTGGCTGTTGATGAAGACCAAAGCAACAGGTGGATTAAGTCATTCTTTCACAAAAACTGATTTGCAGAACTGGAGCAAGCGCTAAGTAGAAGTTTTGATTATCGGGGCCAGTATAAACGTGTGGAAAAGCTTACTGTGTGTATGTTTAATTCAACATCTTCGCTGTTTCCCGTAGCCTACATGTAAGCAGCTTTCTCTACCACAAAGGAGATCATAATGCTATTTTACCCAACGCTGATGTACAGAACTAACATTACATCTGAGGAAGACATGTATTGCTTTCGGTTGCTTAGTTTCCTTTACTTGTATGTATCATGGCTTGTGTGACGCTGTGCTGTAATACTGTGGTTACCCTCATACGTCACACTCCAGGATTCCCCAACGATGCGTAACGCACCTGAATTTGCAAATTCCATTTGCAAATCTTTTCTTTTTCTTTTTTTTCTTGAAATCAGTGGTTCGGAACCCATAACAAAAGGTTAAAGTCACGTGATTTCAGCAAACAATATATCATTTTTACCTGGTTTCGGTTCAGACACATTTGTGTGCAATAAGAGTTGTACAGTAGTTAAAAAGTCTCTTATTGGCTCAATTAACCAAGCTACAAATTATTAAAATAGCACGTATTTGTACAGACACTTATATTTAATGGTATTGTTGATTTGTTAATTACATTTAATAGATTACATTTTTGCGACTGGTTTGTAAAAGTTGTTTATGCATATGCAAGTTTTCATTGCATTTACACCATTCTGACCAGCAGACATCACCAGCGTGTGGCATTTCAAATGTTTCAAATCAGTGAATCATTTTGCGAAGCAGCTGGTTCAATTGATTCAAAGTTTTAAAAAGCCGAGTTGAAATCAATTGAAGAACCTCTCACAGTTATTGATCAGAACTGAACAAACACTGACCTGAGTTTAGCGCTGAGTTTATGCTTCCATAATTGATTGTATTATTGTCCTGTTTATCTCTGTGAAGCTGCTTTCAATCTGTATTGTATAAAGCACTATAGAAATAAAGGTGACTATCTTGCCCTGTGGAGCTCATGATTATTGAATGGCATGCCTTTGGCAGACAGAGGGCACCACTGCTCTTCTCAAGAGCTGCCGTTGGTGCTGAAGAAGGTGGCTGGGTCATTTGTGTGTGCAGCTAGTGTATGTATCGAGTGTATTTGGTACGTTTGTCCATTACATGGATTACATGTATTTATTCTTATTGACCACCGGTACAGCCTGCACTCAGGACTGTTATGCGCTTGAACCAGCGCTTTCTGAGTCACGCATTTTATTTGCGAGGTCTGTGCGCAGCTTGTGAATAACGATGCTCAGAGCAGGCTGTAGCCTACCGGTGGTAAATATACGGTCTCAGACAGAACAGGCAGGTTGTCGATGAGTGACAGAGCAGAATAAGGATGGAGCAAAGTGCTTTTGCTTAGCCTATCATTTTAAATGACAGATGTCGTAGCCTATTTATTTATTTCTTTTTCTCTGCGACACTTTTCCTACTGTGTACAGCAAAATGTTAAACAAATTTAGTATTTTGACAAGACAAATAAAAATAGCTAAGCTATTTCTGTACAACCATTTTTATATTTTTTTTCTCTGTGACACTTTTTCCTATTGTTTTAAATGTTAAACGAATTGTATCCTGACAAGACGAATAAAAATAAGAAATACAATTTTTGTACAACATTTTTATTTTTTCTGTGGCACTTTTTTCCCTACTGTGTTGGCAGCAGTTGCTGTCAATAACTTCAAGACTCTTGACAAGACGAATTTTATAAATACAATTTTGTGCAGATTACACTTTTATTTGTTAGCCCAGCTCTCTTTCTTTCAGTAGCAGAAATTTAAATGTGAGATTCTGGAAACGATATCTAAATTTGGAACGGTCGGGTCGGGAAGAAAATTATTCTAAGCGGGCAACAGGCGAACAAAGAGTGCATATATAACGGGAGCAGGTGGGTGTGGATTTGAACCTTGCAGAAGAGGGTGGGATCGGGACTAAAAAAAAAAAGTCCCACGCAGACCTCTACACTGCATCTCCGCACATACACATTCTTCTACTGAGTGATGAATACAAACAATCAAGATGGTGAAAGTATGCATGCACATGATGTCACCGTTTTCACAAATTTGTGTTTTTGTAGTTTACAAGAAGGCAATAACAGTATCGTTTCAAGAACTTGCACTTCCAAACCCGATTTCAAAACTTTGCATTTTCAGAGCCCCGAAAGGCTAATGTTGTGTAAATGAACGGCCAAAACACATTAAAAATTTTCTAGTTTTTGTTGAATAAAGTGTTGTATAATTGCCCCCTAAAGAGCAACCTCTAGGTTTTTCCTGGTTCTTAATCTTAACAAGTTCTTAATCGTAACGATCCACTGTTTCACATGAACAAATCTACATGTTTGCTGTGTAAAAACATGGGTTGATTTTCACGTTGGTCTGAACAAAAACAGTAGACAGGCTTTCTGAGGAAACGTTTGTTGAAAATGGAGTCCCTCAGGGAAGTGTTTTAGGCCCTCTTTTGTTTCTTTTATATATTAATGACATGCAAGCAGTTTGTGATTGTAATTTGTTTTTATATGCTGATGATTCTGCTTTAGTAATTTCAGATAAGGATGTTGGTAGGATACAAGCGCATTTAGGTAAGGAGCTTTGTAAGGTAAGAGACTGGCTCTCTGAAAACAAACTGATGTTGCATTTAGGTAAAACGGAATTACTGTGTTGGCAGCAGTTGCTGTCAATAACTTCAAGACTCTTGACAAGACGAATTTTATAAATACAATTTTGTGCAGATTACACTTTTATTTGTTAGCCCAGCTCTCTTTCT